GAAGAGATATAAGGGGAAAGGATAGGAGTAAAGGATCATTTAGAAGAGTGAGGATAGAGACCACAGCCTCTCCACCACCAGGCTGAGGAACAGAGAGGACACAAGAGGACGAATGAAAAGGTACATAAAAGGCAAAGGAAAAGAGAGAGGAGATAATGGAGAAAGGGAAAGGGAAAGGGAAAGGGAAAGGGAAAGGGAAAGGAAAAGGGAAATATAATAAGGGAAAGGGGTAAAAGGGGGCAGGAGGGGGGTGGGGGTGGTCATGAGAAATCGTTAAGTACCTACTAACAAGCAGTTAATTGGAGGTGATTGCCAGGGTAAACAGGTGAATCAGAGGGCCGGACCGCAAACTGCTCCCTTGAGACAGGTCATTTTTGGCTCCAAGTGCCAGCATGTTGGTCTGGCTCTCTCGGTACAATGTCCAGGGCGCTCGGTGCCACATTATGTGTCTATGTGGGGGGTGGTGTTGTTGGCACTGTCAAGTGGGGGGTGGTGGTGGTGTTGGCACCGCCAGGTTGTTGTTGTTATAGATTCAGCTACTCTGACCAACTTCCTAGTAGCACGGACTATGGTGAGCCCGGTGTGGACTTACCTGGCACAAGCCTACCAGGTATGGTGGCACTCTCATATATTATCACCTTACCTTCCATGGAATATCACCTCGCCCCTCAGGTGGTATTAAGCAGAAACCATTAACTTCCACTACGGGCTCACCATAGCCCGTGCTATTTGCCCCGCTCGTGTGCCAAGTAAGCTACGGGCTCACCATAGCCCGTGCTATTTGCCCCGCTCGTGTGCCAGGTAAGCTACAGGCTCACCATAGCCAGTGCTATTTGCCCCGCTCGTGTGCCAAGTAAGCTACAGGCTCACCATAGCCCGTGCTATTTGCCCCGCTCGTGTGCCAGGTAAGCTTTGGAACTTGTTCTGAGTAGCTGAATCTATAACAACAACAACCATTAACTTTCTCTCCCAGGGCGGTAGTTTATCCTAAAGATAAAGTTAACAACCATTCACTTCCTGGTCTTCAGTTGATGGAGATAAATGGGGTCGTTCCGCCATTTTATCTTGGCCTTGTCTATAAGCGCCGATCTTCGCTTGTTTAATTGTTTTCACTCCGCGCTTATATTCATGACGTCGGCTTCCACCATCGGAGCTATAAATTCAGCGTAATTAGTGTTCAAATTTTTAGTTATATTTTATGGAAGATGTTGAACAGTTGCATGTTTTAGCATTTTGGAAGGTTGTATAATGATAAGAGTTAAAAATGATTTAGTTGGAAGTCACAGCCAGTGGAGGGGGGGAGAGCATTCGGACGCGGGCACAACCGATGCAAGCGAAGGGAAATTCGCGGGTTCGAAAAAACGCGGGAAAAGCCAAAAATGGGCCAAGAGCGCCGCCATTTTGTTTACGCGGGAAGGGTTACGATAGTTAGTGTTTGTTGTTGTTAGTTCTGCTTCCCGCCCCAACCCTTTGATGACAACACCACCAAAGGGCGCCGAACCACCCTTTACGAGGCAAGACAGCCGGATCCTTCAGACTGTTGGCCCTACCCTCAGTCAACGCTAGTGACGAGAATAGCAACAATAAAAAATATTTATATATCAATCAATAATAACCATTATGACAATAAGAAGTAAGGCTCATTGTTCTCAAATGACCTGTAGCAGTACAGACGATGAGTCTCAATAACGAGGCTGAAGACAAGATGACCAAACTACACGCCAGAAGAGGCTGAAACGACCACGAACGACATCGTTTCGGTCGGTCCGTCCTGGAATATAATCATCAAGTCGTCACAAGTGTTGTTAATGGTTCAGGATGGACCGAAACGTCGTCGTTTCATTGACCAGACCACACACACACTACAAGGTGAAGGGACGACGACGTTTCGGTCCGTCCTGGACCATTCTCAAGTCGATTGTCGACTTGACAATGGTCCAGGACGGACCGAAACGGCGTCGTCCACCTTCTAGTGTGTGTGGTCTGGTCAACATACTTTAGCTACGTTATTGTGACTCATCGCCTGCACCATATGGGACTCCACATCATAAAGAACTATATACTGTAGAAGATTATGAAAACCTACACTATTAAAACAAAAACATAAAATCCCTTATACCATAGGTTTTCACCATTATGAAAGGTTCACCCAATGGGACCTTAGGGGCATCCTACACTATATAAAAGATCTACACCTTTGGGAACCCTTCACTCTATAAAAGATCTACACCTTAGGGAACCCTACACTCTATAAAAGATCTACACCTTTGGGAACCCTTCACTCTATAAAAGATCTACACCTTAGGGAACCCTACACTATATAAAAGATCTACACCTTTGGGAACCCTACACTATATAAAAGATCTACACCTTTGGGAACCCTACACTATATAAAAGATCTACACCTTTGGGAACCCTACACTATATAAAAGATCTACACCTTTGGGAACCCTACACTCTATAAAAGATCTACACCTTTGGGAACCCTACACTCTATAAAAGATCTACACCTTTGGGAACCCTACACTATATAAAAGATCTACACCTTTGGGAACCCTACACTATATAAAAGATCTACACCTTTGGGAACCCTACACTATATAAAAGATCTACACCTTTGGGAACCCTACACTATATAAAAGATCTACACCTTTGGGAACCCTACACTATATAAAAGATCTACACCTTTGGGAACCCTACACTATATAAAAGATCTACACCTTTGGGAACCCTACACTCTATAAAAGATCTACACCTTTGGGAACCCTTCCCTATATAAAAGACCTACACCTTTGGGAACCCTACACTATATAAAAGACCTACACCTTTGGGAACCCTACACTATATAAAAGACCTACACCTTTGGGAACCCTACACTATATAAAAGACCTACACCTTTGGGCGGAAAATACAACATTGACACCGACGACGACCACTCCCACATACAACGCACATCGCCAACATGGCCTCCGTTATAAGAGACGTTCAGACGACGCAGTTTCCAGACAGGAGACATCTCCCGTCACGCAGGGTGCAGTCGCACCTCAACTGATCTCCAGTATCAGCTCTTGATACTGGTAATGGCTCAAAAGAGGCACTACTTACGGGCTATTCATGCCCGTGCCACCTTTTGGGCGGCTTAATCTTTATCAATCAATCAATCGAGGCAGTTTCGCCGAAATGTTCACACACCGACTGGCGGACATCACCATAAGAACAAGAGGTCCCTGGACATGTCTCTCCTACCACTCCCCCGACATTACAGTGTGGGAGTACACAAGTACTCTTGCTGTTGTTTAAGACTCAGCTACTCGGAACAAAAAGTTCCAAGTAGCACGGGCTATGGTGAGCCCGTCACAAGTACTCCCACACAACATATAACGCCTCGGGAGGGCCCTTCTCAACCCCCCCCCCCGGTCTCACCACCCAAATCTAGCTCCTGCAGCATCATTCTCTGTCACCACCACATACTTTGTTCGTCATGTTTTTACCATCCAAGTTCCTCGACATGAGGAAACCCCCTCATGCATTACGGCCTCTACTGAGCCGAGCCTCTCTACCCAAGCTTCACCGACAGTTCAAGCCTCCTCATCCATTCAAGGACATGTCGTCGTCAGCTAAGATTCTCCCCGTGACCAAACAGCTGCTTCCGTCGACACCACTGTAGCAACCAGTCTTTCAACCACTCCAAAAACCCAGAATTCAACAAAAATCTGATACGTGGTTTAATGAAACGTATCTTGAAGTGGGACACATGTATACAGATGTATACTTTTGTTTCGTTATGAGACTGAAGGAGGTGTCTACAAGGGAATGTGCGAACGAGACAGGAACGAAGAGTTTGCAGCCTTCTACTACATATAATCACACACACACAAGAAAACGTCAACTGGTGGGGACTCACTGAGAAGCTGAACCACCTTGTACTGAACGAACCACTACGTCTTAACGTCTTAGCTAAACAGCCTGATCAACCATTCAACTCCTGCTGTAATGGGGCAGCAAGAAGCCTCACTGACTGAGACTCTAGCACAAGTGAAATCGCCAACAACAGCCTAATCACCAGACATCAGACCCTGAAGAAGAAGAAGAAGAATGAAGAAGAAAGATCCATTCCAAAGAGGAAAGAAGAATGAATAAAGATAGCTTTACACCACCAGGCCGAGTGTAAGCAGTTAAGCAGTCCAGCAGGTGAGTCAAGCCTTGTGTGGACTTCCTCTTTCTTCTTCTCCTCCTCCTCCTCCTCCAATCTCAATTTGTCTGTCTGTCTGTCTGTCTGCCTCTCTCTCTCTCTCTCTCTCTCTCTCTCTCTCTCTCTCTCTCTCTCTCTCTCTCTCTCTCTCTCTCTCTCCTTTATCGTTTTCTCATCATAATTGCTCAATTTGTATATTTTCACGTGTCTATCTATGCATTATGTCTCTGTATAAGAATTTCCTGGTGTGTGTATGATTGCATTTCTCATACAGTTGCTCTAGTGTTTCTCTGTTCCCTGTTAGAGTCTGAACATTTCGTAATATAAAACATTTTTTATATTCAGTATTATGGATAGTAACATTGTAATCTCAATTATTATGCTCCCGCGAGGCTGTGAATGTCAGCTTGCTGGGGCCAGCGGGAGCAGATGCTGACCCTCCCGTCCACGTGGTCGGCGGTGTTGTGACGGCTTGGTGGCGGGGAGGTGGGCGGAGCCTAAGCACCACACTGATTGTTTATTGGTTAACCTCTGGCGAGTTGCATACCGCTAGATTATTTGCCTCCTTAATTTCCTCCGTTTGTATTATATATTTATTCCGCTTTTTTATGCTAGTGCATGTGAAATTAATCTTCTCTATGGGATTATTGGATTCACATGACTGGTAATCGAGAGGTGTATGTAAATAAAAATCGAATCAGAGAGGCTCAGATGGCTTTGTGGATTGTGGGAGGAGTCATGGTCAAAGTGGGCGTGGTTTGGGCTGGAGTGGGAGACCACATGGCCACAAGGCGGCCACGTCAGTCACCCTCAGCCGCAGGTGGTGAGTGTTTGCGGCTGTGGACGTGAGCACTCGGCGTGGGTGTGTGCGTGTGTGTGTGTGTGTGAGTGCCGCACGAGACGACCAGCTGGTGGTGGTTGTGACGTCATCATAACTTGTTGACGAGCGATCAGCTGGTGCGGACCACGTGCTCCTTCTAACCCATTTGGTTGGATGAATAAGTCAAACTCATCCACAAGAAACAAATACTTGGATAGTTTCCCGGGTGTTAATTGAGCCATTCTAAGTGGAGAGAGATAGGTAGTTAACTATCCTTTCTTCGTCGGTTTTTAAAGTAAAACACATAACAAGCAATACACATTTCCTGGATTTTTAGAATGATGTCATTCTGGCCGTAGACATTCCCAGTGTTTAAACACGTTTTGAAATGCATTTGTAAACTCCCATCAAACAACTACTGAACTACCGAATAAGCAACGCCATTCGCACGCTAAGACTATCCTTCAGATCAAACAAGAATTACGTTATTATCGACAAACCGAAATTAACAGTGAAGACAATTTGACATGATATAAAAAAATTAGAAAATATAAAAGAACACAAAATATTTTTATAAACACTTAACTGAAAGAGGAATGAAGACTGAAAACTAATGAAGGAAAATTGTCAACAAATTCAATATCATTTAAGGCAATATACATAAAACAGCGATTTTTAAGTTAAGCAAATTTAGCATGAAGAAACAATGAAAAAAAGACTTGAAAACCAACATTCTGAATCTACGAATTTAAGCTAAAAAACACACACACACACACACACATATACTGGCTCCAAGAAAAGACTAAAAACAACACAATTATTTAAAGTCTGAGAAAATGAAGTCTATAAAACAGGTTTCAATCCAACTGAAAATGAAGACCTTGATCATTGAAAAGTTCAGGTTGTGTCAGTAACTGAGGAAACCCTTGATTCAAGGTCACAGTTGTGGAGAACTACCAGAAAGTCCTCTAAGGGCGAAGAAACACACGTTAATCTTCAAGGGTGTGGAAAGGTTTAAGACAAGAGTCAAACAAGAAACATTCAGGTTAATATAATTTTCCGCCTTGACTGCCATTAAAGCAATTGCTGTGTGGACCCCACGACCCCACGACCCCTCCGACCCCACGACCTCCCCCCCCCCGACCCCCTATTGACCTTGGGGCTTTCTGTCCTTCATCTCATCCATCTCTATTCCTTCTTCGATCTTCCCTCCTCTCTCCCTGCACATATTTCCTTCTATCCCTCCCACTCTTTCCCATACCTCCCTCTCTCTCTCTCTCTCTCTCTCTCTCTCTCTCTCTCTCTCTCTCTCTCTCTCTCTCTCTCTCTCTCTCTCTCTCTCTCTCTCTCTCTCTCTCTCTCTCTCTCTCTCTCTCCTCGCTGTGTTTCCCCTCCCCCCAAGACACCGCCATGTTCCCGGATATGACCGTGGGTGACTTCATTAACGTGGGCGGCTTCGGAGTGGGCGAGCGGGCGTGGGCGGAACTCATGGGCGGCATGGGCGGCGAGCCAGCTGGTGACCTGATTCGAACAGGAGCCCCGAACGTGGTGTGCTCTGTGCTGCCCGCCCACTGGCGCTCTAACAAGACGCTTCCCAGTGCCTTCAGGTGAGTGTGGGGGGGGGGGGGGGGGAGTGTGGGGTGGTGGGTGGGAAAGTGTGCGTGGGAGAGTGTGGGTGTGGGGAGTGGGAGGGTGTGAGTGTGGAGTTGTGTGGGTGTGCTTAGACCTAATTGTATTGCCCTATTTGTACCTGCAGGATCAACCTTATGCTCTTGGACCCCGCCTTTCTTGCCGCCTTTTATTAAATTCAATGACTCCAGGCATATACATTTCCCTAGCCTATCTACCTTTCAAATTGTTCATGGAGTTTGTTTCTGCAACCTGCTCCTTCACTTTATTCCATTTTCCCACTATTACGCCCAAGGAAAACTTTCTATGACACATCTTAGTCTCACTCTTCCATCCGTGCTTTCTTGTTTAATTATTTTTCACTGTGAATATTTCCTCTGTTTCCTCTTTGTCAATCCCCCAGATTATTTTATATAACACCGGCGGATATAACATCAAAATCTAACTCCAGAAGCTCATACAAATAGTATAATATATATATATATAATATAATGTGTGTAAATCACGAAAATTAACACGTGATAAAAAATATGACAGTGTCAGATCACCGAGGAAGAATTGAAACAGGAATTTTCTTAAGTAGTTTAGTATATTAACAAAGGAACGAGCGAAATACTGAGGACTCAGTACGACTCTGTTTTCAGCGAGTCACTGAACACACTGATGATTGATAACCCAAACGAATTTTTCATGGATATGATACCAGCATCAAATCATATATCAGATGTCACCCTATCCCCACTGGATTTTGAAGAAGCCATAGACAGTATGCCCATGCACTCTGCACCAGGCCCTGACTCTTGGAACTCTATATTCATCAAGAACTGTAAAAAAACGCTATCGCAAGCCCTTCACATTC